GGTTGGTTGTGTTGTAGTAGGTTGGTTGTGTTGTAGTAGGTTGAGTGGTCAGGCACTTTTTGATAAAGTTGTATGGGTATCCATTTTGTTGGAAGATATGTATAGGTGGTCTGTTTCCTTTTTCTGCTGTTCTGGGTTGCTGCAGTGCGTTTGTGTTCATCTGAATAATGTTCTTCCACAGCTCCTCTTGTGGGAGGTGGGGTTGTTACTTTGGTAATGGAGCACTTGGTTAGCGTGAGTTGTTTTTCGACAGACTTGTGCTTCTAATTTGCTGTCGTTTCCTCTGCTGATGTGGATATCCAGGAAGGGTAGTGTGTTGTTGTTTTCTTCTGCCCTTGTGAATTTTATTCCTTTGAAGTTGAAGTACACAGATTTTAAAGTTGGTAAGATTAAGAAGCACTGCATTAAAAGGAGGGGGGGGCGCCCAGCAATTCCAATACATCTCAACAGACCAAACACCAAAAGTGCCCAGAGGTGAAGTCTTGGCTGCTGGCAGAAGCAGCTCATCTGGTCTTCCTGGGCAGACAGCCCAAGAGCAGTTCTTGAGAAGGGCAGCTTGGATGGCAGAGGGAGGAAGAGAAGAGCCTCTGCTGGAGATCTTAAATGTCTTAAAGTGTGAAACATCCAAGAGCAGCACTATGACTTTGGCTGAGGAAAACGTCAGGCAGGACATGCTGATTTAAGCAGCAGACGTGGCGCTTTGGACCAGACCTCCAGCTGAGGGCAAGGCACCCCCGTCTAGCCCGGGTTACTCTTGTGGCTGAGGCATCGGGCGCCATGCTCGGATGGGTCCTCTTAAGCACCGGGGGCAGAGAACAGCAGCTCTGGCATTTCTGGGGGAGCAGCCTGGGCTCCAGACCTCACAAGCCGACCATCTAAGGTTGTGCCTCAGAAGCCGAACAGGACCTTCAGAGCTTCTGAGGAAGGGAAGTGGGCCATGTCAAATACCTCGTAGGAGGAGAGCCGTGTTAGTCTATGGAGGCAAAAAACCAGGAACTGTCTACCACCTTTTCTGGCTACAAATTTAATTCAAAGGCCGCAGCTTTGAATAAGATTTGATAGTCAGAAAAGGGATAAATGAGACTCCTTCTGATTTTTGAATACCTTGCAATCTGTGGCCAGTATGACTGACTCCTCAGGATTCAGCTTCTGCTTGTTTTCCTTCCTCCGGTCCATTGTTAACATCAGACACTGATTTTCTTGGATTTCGACCCTTAATAGATTTTAGTCACTGGTAGAAAAATATTGTTTGTGTCCTGTTTGCTGTATCACAACAAACATGGCAGGATTCAAAACACAAGCGGGATGTGTAGCAAAATAATGTACTGGTTTGAGCCAGGGGTGACTGGGGGTACTCACAAGCTACCGCCGTTAGCTCTATGCAGTAATACAGTTTGCACACAAGTAAACTTTATCTCAGTAAACTTTGCTAACAACCACAACAGTATGAATCCCACGTTTTTAAGAAAAAGAAATATCAGTTTCTCAAGGAGAGGTCAGTCGGTCTGGGTAACCTTTTCAATCGGGCTGCTGAGTCACAGAAGTACTTGATATGAGAGATCTGGCACAGTTCGGGTTGTGTTAGTGCCAGACCTAGAATTTTTACTTCCAGGAAAGCAAGGTGCAGTTCTACAAACTTTTTATGTAGGGTACATTCAACAGATGCAAACGTTAATGCATGAAAACAAGAAAGATGTGATTGCAATCTGACCAAATTTGCCTATTTCTTCCCGCCCTGTTCAGATTTGGCTCTTCGTCCCTGCAGGATGAGGGGCAGGACTGTAGCTCAGGGACAGGGCTCCTCTCTTGCTCACAGAAGTGCCCAGGTTTAATTCTGGCCTCTCCAGGCAGGGCTAGGAGACCCCCGGGGAGCAGTTGGGTTAGTAGAGTTCACACAGACAAGAGGAGCCTCTTGTGGGCAACGGCCTCCATTTTCCAGGCCTAAAGCCCAAACCCTCTTCTTGGTCCTTCTGGAGAAGGTGCTAGAAAGGGGGGAAAGGGGTGGTCAGAAAATCTCTACCGTGCCTGTATGAGGAAGGGCCATCCTGCTCTGCAGCTGGATGCTGGGCTTTGAGAAGACCCCCACCTGTTTGTATCAGAAGAGCTCAGCTAAAACTTTCTCTGCATCCTGGAAAATGGTTTGGGGCAGGAGGACCTTCTTTCTTTCTTTCTTTCTTTCTTTCTTTCTTTCTTTCTTTCTTTCTTTCTTT